TCAGACTAACAGCTGTATCGTTGACCATCATTTGTTGTGTTATATCCTGAAGGATTCCATTTCTCATTGCTAATAAAAACATGAAATAGAACTGATTATCTGTTTTAGTTCAAAGTGAGAAAAAAAATTTTCCTCACTTTTAAAGCTGGAATTTTTAAAATTTTGCCATACCTTTCGAATAGCCCGTGTTCTATTCCACAGAAAATCATACCACTGAGCCAATTCTTCATCGGTCTTTGGAACGCAATTCACAATCTAAAATGAGTGACAGTTTCAAACCACAAACTTATATGTTACGGGCTTTTTGTATGGAAATTTGACACCTGCATCATCGCGGCCCCTTTGTCTTTTTATCCCGAAAAGTCGAGACGGTATCGTCAGTTAACCGCAGCTTTAATAAATCTCTCGCATACATTTTAAATTAATTACTGACAAATTCGACAACCGACCTTTCCAACGAGGTAATTCATGGTTCGTTGAAGTACATCTGCCGGTCGCAATTCATGCGGTAGCGGCTCCTCCTGCAAATTTTGGAAAATACTTTTTCAAAATAAAAATATCAAAAAATAGATGATAATTAAAATTTAATGGGCGTTGGACAGGAACACTGCTTAACAACTGATCAAGTCAAAAAAAACTGACGATATGCTATCAGTTTCTTCAAACATAAAGGTGAAAAGATTGGAAAACTGACAAATATTTGATGTTAGTTTTTCTTCTTCTTTCTTAAAAATGTAGGTTTATTTTTGCTGGAAATGTGAGAAATGAACCTGATCGGCTGCACTTCGACTGTATTCTTTGACTGTTAACTCTGGAGCCATTCTTCCATCTTGGGAACATTCGTATAAACTGAGACGCTTCTGAACGACTCTCATGTAGCGTTCCTTTTCCGGACACATATCTTCACAAGTACCCTGCAACAAAAACACAAAGTAATTCACTCATTACCATTCAACTTTTTGGAAAGTGAAATTTTATGAACTTGAAGATATCCAGGGAAAAATAAACCCGGCTGTAAATTTTATTTCCTGGGAAAGATAAAAAAAAAAGAGCTAATAAAATTATCTGTTGAGAAACCCGTGAGCAGATAATATGGAAGGCATATAACAGGTGATTTCAGTGCTTTGCGTGATAGGCAGTTCCATCAATAGTACTATTAGAAAATCGATGAGTTAGCGAGGTTTTCGTTAGGCAGTTTTTAATTTGGCAGCGGTTGAATATACCAGTGCGCCAACTCGCCGCTTTTTTCCCAATACCGTTTTCATGCTAAAAATTCTACAGAGATGCAACTGCGGATGTACCTGCA